GTCCATGGCATCGGAATGCGACATGTGCATAGAATATAATGTGACAGATGTCTAAATAAGGGAGAGTCAACTATACACTGCACTCTTTTTCCCTTCGCTAAAGTTTTTTCCCACTGGGTTTTCTTTAGCAAGGTTTTTAATGAGGCACTACTTCAAGGTTGAACTCTAATTTGAAATGATGTCATCCAAAGGGGAGTGTTGTAAATAATTGAATGACAACATTTCCTAATGTCAAATGTGTAAGAGTTATTTTCAACTCTTATGACAAATATGTCAAATATGTGTAAGAACTCATTAATTATGTCTAGTGATTTAACTAGTATAAATAGCATCATCACATATGTAAAAGACACACCAATTTGAATACTTTATATAAGTTATCAAATTCTCTCCAAATCTCCTTTCTTCTTTCTTAAAGGTTCTTAGTTTAGTTTTACTAATGTTGTTTTAATTACATCAAAAAAAATATATATATATATATATATATATATATATATATATATATATATATATATATATATAGACACACACTGTTGGGCTAAGAACCTTTGATAACAAAGCCTTAAATGGTTTGATAATCCAATCTTATAACTAAAACGTTAAAACGACATCACGTTTAGCATAAAAATAATATTAATTTTTCAAAGCCAATAAACTATTATAAATTTCATATTGCAATAACCAAATGAATTTTAAAAATATAGTTTTATTTATTTACTCTCACATAAAATACGGACATATTTAAATATAATTTTGGACATACATTAAAAAAAGTCTCCTAACTCTCAATATTTACTAAGAAAAATTCTTATATAAGTGTATTTCTATGGTAGGAGATTCTATTTAGGGGGTGCTTGGGTACTTTTCAATTAATTTATTGATTTTTTAGAAAATTTAGAAATTTTTTACATTAAAAATTTGATGTTTATAAACGCCTTTTAATTTATTGACTTTTTCACAAATCAATAAATACATAAATAATTTTGAAAAACACTCCCAAACACCACCTTTGAAACTAATACACAAGCCTTTTAAATTATCTATTTTGAACTACATAACAGTAAATTTTTAACTAATAATACATCAGTATATTGTTAAATTTATACAAAATTGCATAATTTTGTGAAATAATTGAATGTGCTTGCCCACGAAAGATGTTGAAGTGCTTCGCCACCTTTTCTCAAAGAAAAAAAGTGCTTGCCCACCTAGCTTACAATGGAAAGTAGAATTCACTTTGAATATTCAGTTCTACAAACGCCTTTGGGCAATTCACTTTTGAAGTAATCAATTTAAGATGTGATTTACTTTATTGATGGGATTCACGTGGAACGCAGAAAATCGGGGCAAACATGGGCGGGGATCGACTCGTGAACCATGATCAGTAACAGGGGATCCTTCAATTCAATTTGAAATTTCAAGTTGGTAAAGTTAGCGACTGCGTCATCTGCAGCCATTAAAGTCGATTTGAACTTTTAAGTTGGTGTGGGAGTATCATCAGTGTTTATAAAAAGCGAAGGTAAAGATCGAATGTTTGAATAAACAAACCAAAAGCACGTCTTGCTATTTCGTCCATGCCTTCTTGATTATAGCACCCAACCTGTTCGACAAAATGCCAGGCTATCATTGGCCATGTCTTTATGTCTTCACTACTCATTCTGATGCTAGCTAATTGCTATCACCCCAAGCCCAAAATCCCAATAACTTTATACCAATTTAAAATCATACGAAAAAAATTATTGATAACTGATAAGTCCATTAGGCTAATAAAAGCCATATAATTCACGTTTGAGTGGATGTGAAATTCATGTGATGCACTCCCATTTATTATAATGGTACCAGATCAGATATGAAATATCACTATCAGTCATTATAAAAATAAAAAATAAAAAACTTAAAAACACATATGTATTATGTAGGGTCATTGTTCTTTGGTAAACAGATCTAAGACACGAAGCCGAAAGTAGGCAACTTGAAAGCGTTTCCATAATTTCTTCATTCTTACTTTAATTTCTTTCCATTTTCTTTCGGATATTCATAGTTTAAATTATACAGTATATCGGACCAAATTGATGTCCGGTTGTGATGGTTGCTGAATGACAATGGGTTGTCCTGTGGCACTCAAAGTTTACCTTTTTTATGGGGGAAAAAGCCCCACAGATAATAATGTTGTAGGAGACACAATTATCACCTTTTTGTCTATAATCAAGCAATGGTCCAAAAAGACGACCTAATTTGACTCAGTCTCTTGTTTATATATGTTTTCCCGACTATATTTTTATGGGTCTTCTTGTTTAAATTATAGTTCGCAATCAGACAAGGAGGCATGGTCATAGACTCATAGATGATAAGTTTTTGATCTTTTGAATTGGAAAAGAAAGGATCATCCATGGCTCCTACAGGAAAAGCTTTGGAATTTTATAATGAAGACAATGACTGGTAAACTCTTTCTCTTTTACTCCTCTTAACATTATATGATTTCCAAATTCACTTGCTTTTTTAATCATTTGGTAATCAGTATCTGAGTCTCTTAAAGAAGTTACATATTTGTGTGCCAGGTTTTGTAATGCAGGTTTGCCAAGTGATCTCACCATTGTCATAGATGGAGTAAACTTCCATCTTCACAAGGTGTACTTTTTCTTCTAACTTTCAATGTTTAATTTCACCCTGTGTAAACTGGTGTCAATCATTAATACCAAATTTTTTAAACTGCATATTTCTTCAGTTTCCCTTACTATCAAGATGTGGGAAAATAGAAAAGTTGATGAAAGAAACTGAAAATAACAATAAAGGTACTTCCACCATCATCCTGGAGGACATTCCTGGTGGTGCCACCTCATTTCTGGCTGCATCTAAGTTCTGTTATGGTGTTCATATTGAACTTACACCTACAAATATAGTTATGGTGTATCATGTGTCAGACTATCTTGAAATGACTGATGAATATGGAGATGATAACTTATTCTCAAAAACAGAGACTTACTTCCATAAAAATATACTAAAAAACTGGAAGGATTGCATGGTTGCTCTTCAAAGTTGTGAAACCATAACAAGAGCTGACAATCTCCAAATAATTAGTAAATGTTTGAATGCCATGTCAGCAATGGTTTGCACAGACCCGAGTTTGTTTGGATGGCCAATGATGATGATGTATGGTTGCTTACAAAGCCCTGGAGGTAGCATTCTCTGGAATGGAATCGACACAGGTGCAAGAATCCAAACATCGGAATCGGAATGGTGGTTTGAAGATGTTTCACTTCTTAGTGTTGTTTTGTTCAAAAGGCTTATCAAGACAATGGAATCTAAAGGCATCCAACCCGAAAAGTTAACAGGTGAAATAATTCAATTCGTCAATTCCACATTTTTTCTTGTATGATCATCATACATTCCATTATTTACAACTTTGCCACTGATTTGCAGGTGCTATTATGTACTATTCGGGGAAATGTCTCCATGGTTTAGGCAGATGGCAAAGTGGGCAGTTTAGTAAAACTAAATTTAGCACAAAATATGACATAGTTGATCAAAGGGTAGTATTGGAAAGCATTGTGGATATTCTCCCACAAATAAAGGGGGAGTCTTTTTGTCGTTTCTTATTGGGACTTTTACGTGTTGGTTTAATGTTGGGTGTTAGTGATAAATGTCAAGAATCACTTGAAAGGAGGATAGGAATGCAACTAGAATTTGCTACATTAGATGGAATCATGATTCCTAGTTATATTGATTCTGATACATTATATAATACGGATACTGTTGAAAGGATGATTAACTATTTTATAACTTGTGAAGAAATGGGTTTTACAACATTAGCAAATGTTTCTAAGCTTGTGGATAGTTATGTAGCAGAGATTGCATCTGATGTGAACTTGAAACCTGACAAGATACATTCACTTGCAAAGTCTCTTCCAGAATCTTCAAGATCTTTGCATGATGGACTATACAGAGCTTTGGATATTTATTTTGAGGTCTATTTCTTATATACTCAAAAAAGGGGGTTTTTTTTTTCTTTTAAGTAAATGATTTTTTTAATTCAGGCTCATTCGTGGTTGCATGAGAAAGAAAAAGAAGGTCTATGCAAAATCATTGAGTGGGAGAAACTATCCATTGATGCTTGTGCTCATGCTTCTCAAAATGTACGCCTACCACTTAGAGTTGTCTTCCAAGTGTTGTTTTTTGAACAAATGCATATAAAAACAGCTTTAGCGGGTTGCCTTCATGTGTTGGATGACGAAAATAACCCTACATATCATCCATTGGGCCTTGTGCATGAGAATGAGCTACTAAGAGTTGGCATGGAGAAGATGAGAAGTAGAGTGAGTGAACTTGAACAAGAGTTCGATAAACTGAGGCAAGAGATGACAAGGATGAGTGGGGCCCATTTGTGTAAGTAGTGATTTGGTTAAGAAAACCTATCCGAGAAACATTAATTATGGATCTTGGATGTGTTTTCTTGATTCTTTTTATCTTTCTTTTTTCATCAATGGTTGTAGCTTTAATGCTAGTAGAGTAAGAGAGGTTTGCCTTCAACTCTATATCACAATGTCACTTGGATTTTTGTAGCAAATGAGCACTATACTTTACAATTGGCCAATTTTGTATAAATTATTACAATGTAAATGCAAAGATTAAAAAAACAAAACATTGAAGGAAGACTCAAAATTGTAGCTTTTTGAGATGAACAACTCATGGTAGCATGTTGTGTATGTAAATTTTAATTGTTTAAACAATGGAGGATTGTTCATGGAGAGCGACCCACAACAATAATGTGGACTATTTCTAACATTTTGCCTTTATGGGATTATGTATTTCCATTGAAGGTTTTACCTTGTAAAACAACAAGATCTCATTCTGAGAAAAATATAGCCTAATATTATCACATTTACACATAACTAGTAATGCAAGATGTTAGCAATGAATCTTCAAATATAGAAATTAGAAACTAAAACCAATCATGTGCAATTGGGATTTCGAGTAGAAATCTCTTTTAAACCCTATATAAATCTCAAAAACCCATACCCCTTCACATAAACATAAACACAAACACAAAGCAAGATTTAACCACAATGGATCTTGTCATTTACCTTATGCTCATTTTCCTTATCAGTCATTCTCCCTTTGCATCTTTTGCATCTCAGATACATGATCCTTCCTCAAGAACAGGATATGAACTCATTAAGGAGTTGAATTTGAACCCAAAACTCGATCTTAACATCATTAAGCCAAACATATCCGATTCTTCTTCAGTCAGCATTACGGGTTCCAGAATAGTTGAAAAGCCATTAAAGCTCCAAGTTCTTGGGAATTCAGGTGCTTCAGTTCATGACCTTGCTCATCTTGCTGGATATGTTCGAATCAAACACGCTGTAGGCGCAAGGTATCTTTTGTCATCACCACAACATGTAGAATGAAATATATATACATAAACAAATATCAAATAGTAACTAAATGAAATATATTAACTATGTTTGAAGGATGTTCTACTACTTCTTTGAATCAAGAAACAACAAGGATGATCCTGTGGTCATATGGTTGACTGGAGGACCTGGATGTAGCAGTGCAATAGCTCTTTTTTATGAAAATGGTCCTTTTCAACTCACCAATAACTTGTCACTTGTGTGGAATGACCATGGTTGGGATAAGGTCAGGTCTTTTAACTCACCTAAATGCCTAAATCCATTTTACCATATATTATGATATAACCATTGAATGAAAAAAAAAAAAAAAAGCAACTATAACATGCATATTGATTTTCTAGGTTGCAAACATGATATACATTGATCAACCTATTGGAACTGGTTTCAGTTACAGTTCAAGTGAAAAAGACATTCGACATGATGAAAAAGGTGTAGGAGATGACCTTTATGACTTCCTTCAGGTAATTTGAATAATTATCTGATCTCAAAATCCCCACTAAAGTTGAAATTTTTAATGAATGACAGGAGTTCTTTAAGGTGCACCCTGAGTATGTGAAAAACGACCTCTATATAACTGGAGAATCATATGGAGGACACTACATTCCAGCTTTTGCTACCCGTATAAACCAGGGGAACAAGAACAAAGATGGAATTCATATAAACTTGAAGGTGGTGTTGATTACAATCTTCCAACAGTTTTAAGATTTTCAATTTTGCTCATGAAATTGTGATTAACTGGATAGGGATTTGCAATTGGAAATGGACTCACTGAACCTGGAATCCAATTCAAGGCGGATGTTGATTTCGCTTTGGAAAATCAATTAATTACAAAAAAAGATTACAATGAATTGATTCAAATAGTACCAAAGTGTGAAGAAGCAGCAAACAAATGTGGTAATTTTCTTATCTCTCTATAATTTCATTATTTAACCTTGTTATATTTTTGTTAATGTTGTATATATACTTGAGGTGTTCTATTTTTCAGGGACAAATGGTAAAGCCAGTTGCCTTGATGCCTGGAAAATATGTGGGGAAATTCACTCCAAGATTTTGTATGCTAGCAATATATGTGTAAGTAAGCAAATAAATATCCTACAATCATAACTGGAAGTGCAATTCATATGTAATAGAAACAATTGTTTTATAACAGCCTTATGATTTGAGGAAGCAAAGATGTGATGACTTGTCAAGGATAGATGAATTCTTGAACTTGGAATCAGTGAAAAAGGCATTAGGGGTACCAGAGGAAATACATTTTGGGGCGTGTAATGGTAAGGTGTATGGAGCACTGAAGGAAGACATTATGAGAAACCTTGAAGTTGGGATTCCAGTGCTTTTGGAAGATGGTATTCAGATGCTTGTTTATGCTGGAGAATATGATTTTATTTGCAATTGGCTAGGTAAGATACAGATGAAATAATGAAAATAAGCAATGTTTTTATTTTTATTTTTTTCCATTTTCTGAAAGGACTTGGTTTTCTCTGAATAAACAGGGAACTATAGATGGGTCAAAGGCATGGAATGGTCTGGTCAAACAGATTTTGTTGCATCTACAGCCTATCAATTTATAGTAGATGGGAAAGAAGCTGGATTGGCAAAAAACTATGGCCCTCTCACTTTCCTAAAGGTTTGTGCATGAACATATATATATATATATATATATATATATATATATATATATATATATATATATAAATTGTTTTTTTTTTGTAATATATGTATGTATCCAATGAGCTTTTATGGTTAAATAAAAATTGTTTTTTTTTTTGTAAATCAGGTGCATGATGCTGGGCATATGGTTCCACAGGATCAACCAAAGGCGTCATTGCAGATGTTAAAGATGTGGATGGATGGAGAACTTACCTTACCACAAATATAAAAAATAAAACTTTGTTGTAATGTTGGGAGTATTAAGAAATAATGTAAACAATAAAAGTGAGAATGTTTAAGCATGAAGAACATTGGGTATTTAACAATCAGGTCTTACTCCGTGTAATTCCCTCAATGTATCCATTACAGGACGAAAGCCAGATTTCAAAGGAACAACTGATACAACTCGTTGATGTTGTGCATTGCCATTCTTGGGTTTTGAAAGTGTCACCTTTAACATCTCTCCCTCCAGAATCTTACTTGCAGTCTCACCTGAGAAAACATAACATTTTCAATCTGTTAGGAGTTAGGACACACGATAATGGTAGCAGTGATGAACTAGTTGCCAACGTATTTACACAAAGATTCAAAGAACATCAAATGAAAATAATGAAAGTTTATAGATAAGATATTCTTTAAAATGATACTAACCGGAAAAGGGATGAAGCTTGGCGAAATCAACGAAATCTTGAGCAGAGCAACCAAAGAGAACCCTAGCAGCCCTGTCAAACATGACCACCTCAAACACCTTCGTCTCTGTCGCTACGGACATAAGGACGCGAAATAAGCGTTTAGAAGTAGAGCCGCCACCGCCGCGGTGAGGAACAGCACTAGTATTTCTAGTGAAATTGCAGTGATCACAGTGAGTTACGGACGGCGGCGCGGTGTTGGTTTCGGGGAGAGTTCTCTCACAGAAGGAACACACTGTGTAATACAAGGCGGTGTGATCAATGGCGACGACTGTGCATATGGTGGTAGTCCGTTTGTCCACATCCATTGCGGTTGCCGAAGGCCGGGGAACAACAAACTATGTTGACCAGAAGATACATATGAATCTTTTCCCTAAACGTATAATTTAGAAATGCTTCAACAATATTCATCAAGCGGGGATAGCTCAGTTGGGAGAGCGTCAGACTGAAGATCTGAAGGTCAGGTGTTCGATCCACCTTCACCGCATCTTAGTTTTCAAAATTTACATGGACTTTTTGGTGATTAATCTGTTATTCATAACTAAAAACTTGAGTTAAGGGACCTAGGTCATCTAGATTCTTGGGTTTTTGGCCTATAGCACAACAAAGTTTAGGGAATTTACACATTTAGTCTTTTTTTTGCGCAGTTGTTCCTTAAAATTGGTTTTTACCTGTTAAATAGGGGCTTGACCCCCCAAACTAACAGGTTTCCGGTTAACTCCACTTATTTGGAGTCCTACATGGCAAAATAGGTTTATATTAATGCCACATGTTGCATATGTGGTGTCCATATAGATTACCATTTACTTAAATAAACATTTAACTTGTTCTCTTTCTTTTACTCCCTCCAGTGAATCGAAGCTAGCATCCTCTTTTTCTTCTCTTCAATCGATCGCATGTCGCATCTCTCCCTTCCTATCTTCAATCGATTGCATGAAATAAAATCACACCCATTCTCTTTCTTTTACTCCCTCCACTAAATCTTCGAGTCTCACTCCTCCTTCGTGTTTTTTAATTTCACTCAAAGCAACAGATGAACAGGTGGTATTTGGTGGTTTGATTTGTGGTGAACAGGGGCTGATTTCCTTGGATGTTGCAGATGGGTATGGATTTTCCCTCTTCTCCCTCTTGATGTGTTCTTTTTGAATTACAGGTGTTGTATGGTTGATGCGATGATGGAGGGTGAAGATGGTGATGATAAATATCATCTGTGGCATTGAATGAAGGATTGTTGATGAACAAAGCAAGGAGTGTAAATATCGATGTTGGTCAAGGCGATGGGGGATGAAGGCGATGGCGATGACGCTCCTCCAATTTCATGAGAAATGCTTTAAGATAGTTTCCGGGATTTCCCCAATCAGTTCATTCTTGTATATGTTCAACAATTTCCGATGGGATTTCACAAAATAATGAATTTTAGGATGTCAACAACTTGAAGATGTATCAACGGAGAAAGTAAGAGCACCATAGATGCTTCCAGTCAGCTTATTCCCTCAAAATAAAATACTTTGTAGCCCTAACTGAAATACCCAGGTAGGAAGAAACCTTGTGAATGAGTTCCGACTTACATCCAAGCTCTGAAGATTCTGGCATGAGATATCAACGATCGGGACTTGCAGATTTAGAATCCATGTCTGCAGATCTATGTTTTCTGGTTGACTGGTTTACCTAATGCAAACGAATTTCTAGGGTTTTCGGATTCAAATGGTTTTTGGAATCGAAATTTTCAGGTTTGGAATCGATATTTGCATATCCCATGTTCGATATTGTAAAAGTCAGTCTTCTTGAAAATCTCCATTGATGCCGAAAATGTACCTTGTCTCCAAATTTTGTTGTGGATGGAGACGGTGGATAGTGGTGGTGGTGGGAGATTATTTTTGTTCTTATTTTAGTTTAGGATATGTGCCAAAAGAAGTATTTCATACGTGGATTAGTGAGAAAGTGTTTTTTTGTTATTTTTTAATTTCCAGGTCAACAAATATACCGGTTCATCAGGTTGCTTAGCTAAAAATGGTATAATTGAAACAATTTTTTTAAGTTTAATGACTAATTGTGCAACAAAAAAAGCTTGAGAGACTAAATGTGTAAATTCGTGCTACAGTGCCAAAAACCCTACATTCTTCTAAAGAGACATAAGTTTAATAATTACAAATATACGGTATCACAATAATAGAAAAGTTATCTTTTTTTGTCAATTAGGACATACGGTGGTTGTCCTATCTCTCTTATGCATAGTTGATGTTGCTTTACATAATTGCTTAAGTTTCTTTATAATTGATATTTTGTAATGTTCTAGGTCATCTACATTCTTCTAAAGAGACATAAGTTTAATAATTACAAATATACGGTATCACAATAATATAAAAAGTTATCTTTTTTTGTCAATTAGGACATACGGTGGTTGTCCTATCTCTCTTATGCATAGTTGATGTTGCTTTACATAATTGCTTAAGTTTCTTTATAATTGATATTTTGTAATGTTCGTGTAATAATATTATTTCTCTCTCATTCCACAATACATGTATTCATCTCTTACAACGCAATTAACTCTAGTCCAATACTTTTTTATCTCGCTTCATCTCTAGAATTTCTGCATATTCTAGCCTTCAGCTTCACATCCATTGTCATAGCTAGCATTCTTTCCCAAAACATCCACGCTCACACATTCGCAAACATAATGTGACGCCGACTCTTTCATCCACAAAATAACCCCATACATATTCCACTTAACAAAAAATCACCGCCCCTCACGTGTAACATGCTTTTGTTCCTCAACAAGGAATGTGACAAGAGGTTTGAATATGTTCCCTCATGAGTCCCACTGAGGACATATATAATTAGTGTGTTCCCATGTCGTAACTAATTTTGAATCCTCTAAATCCCATGTTAAGTTAGTCATCTCTAGTTGAAACTCAAATCCAAGGAAAGCATGGTCAAAGTACTTGGTGTATTTTCAATATCCAAGGAAAGAAATTATGTTCTCGTTGTAACTGATAAGGTCCATTAAGAATGAGACAAGGATGTATGAGTTTATCAAATAAATAGTATGTTCGATAGAAACTACCCAATTTGTATTGTTTATTCCAAATAAATTGCATTGTTTGTGTGGAGATTTCCTTCATTTGCATAAAACTCATGTGTGCATGTTTGATAGAAATTGTTTTGTTTTGCTTGTGCGCCATTTGTAGACACTATACTGATAAGGGTCATACAAGTCTTCATGTGTTGACATTTTTATCGTAAGAAATCTCAAAACATGTTGCTTAGATCATTGATCATTATAACAACCATATGATTTATTTTTGGTTTCGGTCTTATACCCGATGGATGTTCATGAATTTTATAACATTTATGAATAGTTCTTGTTGTTATTTGAGTTCTTTTTTTCTCTTTTCTACAACTAGTGAGAAAAAAACAATTAACAAGTGGAGACAATTGATCCATATTTAAGACTTCACCTACGGTATTAGAAAATGATATATTCAATCCCATGATAAAAATGCATAATATATTCATCTTGAAAGTACTTTTCGATTTCTTGAACTCCATTGCAACTGTAGTTGCCACATGTGCATCTAGGACGAAAATTATCGACTTCTTCTGGTAACGACTTCAACCGTATGAAATAAACTCCAACAACATCTTGATTTTGATTGAGGTCGACTATATATGTGTATTTGAAGTCAAATGTGGTCTATTGATTTGTTGGTAACAATCTTTGAGATTGTTCCATATTTCAAATGCAGAATCGACGACACCTGAGTAATAATGGTTAATAATGGGCGTCGACAGATAGAAAGATGTGGGGTTAAAGCGGTTGTTGAAAGAATGGAATGGAGGAGGCCAAAATACTATATATATATATATATATATATATATATATATATATATATATATATATATATATATATATATATATATATATGATAATGCTACTTCCACTCAAAATGACATTAAATGGAGAAGAATTATGTCAAATAATTATCTAAGATTACATTCATTTCATTAACATGTCATTTCATACTTGCTTAAAATAACTTGGGAAAATGACACAAATGGCCTACAAAGTTTCTAGGATTGGTCTATTTAGTCCTTAAACTATTTGTGTTGCTTTATGAGGGCATAAGGTGAGCTATGACCTTTTCTTTTGGTCCCTTTAACCTCTAACTACCCATAACTCATTTAATAAATTGATAAAATTCAGTAAATTGTGCACGTGTCCCTCCCTCCCTCCATCTCTCACTTACTCACACACACACATAGTTTGCACCACAATTACTTTTCTTGATAAAGAACTCCTTCAACCTCGTTGGAAAATTTATTCCCCTTACCGATATTTTTCTAGGAGTCCAACCATGCTTCATCCCTTTCGATCGTGAAGTCTTCCACTGAGGATCCTCCTTCTAAGCATGTCACTCTGATGTTGACTGGTCAAATACTGATGCAACAAATGTTGACCCTCTCGTTTATCTTGATTTACAAGGCCTTCGTGATCCTATATCAAGCCATTTGTATTCAAATACTTTTTACCCTTTGGATTCTTAGATGCATTTGGAGTTTGAATCTTCATATTGTTGGAATAATCTGGAATATCCAATTGTTAGAGTTATGTGTTTTTTTATTTTTCCTAGCTTTATCATTTCCTGCAATTTAAAGATAAAATCAATTAGTTAGTTTGTTTTTTTCTTGTATATACATGATCTTTGTTTAATGTTTACTATGATGAGTTTTTGAGTTCAATAAAAGTCCCAGCAGAAAGTTTGACAAAAATACCCTCCATTGTTTTTCTTGATTTATGTTTTCTCCTGTTCTTCTTTATTGCAGCTTGAATCAAGCAGTTCATAAATTACACATACCTGGGTAACCCTACATTTGATATCTCTAAAGGGAAAAATGATCCATGATTCATATGGTAATCCCACTACAATTCCCTAAATTAATCAAATTTTGATTCGTTAAACACTTAAACTCAATAATCAGGCATTAACTGAGGAATCTTGGCTTCTTGTTCATCAGCTCTCTTCTGTTCAACCGATCTTAACCATTGGCGGATCTAGTGTATAACAAGTGGGGTGTATGGCCCCACTTAAAACTAGCTTCCATTGGAAATTTTAGCAAAAAACAAGTTTTTGTTATGTAATTGAACAATTGGCACCCAATTAAGTTTTCTTTGGCATCCAAAAAACCCAAGAAACACTAACAAAAGTTCATATTTTGTTATTAATTTTCGTTACATTTATCCCTTATATATTTTGGCCCCCTGTTAGTTTTGGTTTTGGATCCGCCACTGATCTTAACCAAATACAAA